TGAACAGACAGTTGAGACAGAGGGAGAGCAGGCCTGTCTGTGAAGGTGTTCTCAGTGCACTCATATGAAAAAGAATATTCAGGGTGTTCTTCACCATTTTATTTGCTTCTTGTCTTTACACTAGTCAGCTTTCTTGTCAACCTTGTTCATAAATGTAAAACTCTCCCCAGTGGGTGGGTAGAGAGTTCTTCCTGATCTTGACAAGCCCTCCTATCGCTGACTGCATACTAATTTTCTTCCAGAACCACTGAGCCAGTGCAAAACAAACACTAACTGCCAGTGCTACTGTTCAGTGCTTCAGAAACAGAGTTTCAGGAGCTAAACAGTGATTATACAAACAGTCTTCAGTTTAAATGGAAGCTTTTGTGGCCGGCTTGTTGGTGTCTGTGGAGATCTGATATGTTTCCAGGATAAAGACCAGAGTTCTTTCACCAGTGAATTAAAAGTCCTGCAAATCTTCAGCTTAAGCTCAAGAGACAGTAACTGGTTTTCAATCATATGCAATCATATTCAATCTTAGAACATATAGAAAACCCTCAGATATACTCGTTTCTCTTGCTGACTCTTTCTCCAATGTTTGAAGGCTGTCTCCCCGCATACGTAACGTTCCCTGACATATCTCAAGGTTTCCTTGAGACTAGGAGTGCCTGCAGGTTTGGCTGTGAATCTCAGAAGAGCTCCAGAAGCTGAGAGTTGAAAACAAACGTAGGATAGGTCGATACCATCTAATCTGTTGAACATCATTATCGTCTAAGATATCACTATACTCCCTTCCATACCTGCACAAGCCCAGCCTCCAAGCCTCACACTCCCTCTCTCTCTTCTCTCTTTGAGGTAAAAGCTTAAGTGTTGAAGCTGAAAATGAATGTAGGCCATTGTTGGGTTGCAACTGGACTCTACAGAGTGTTGTTTGATCCCATGTTGAGCCAGAAAAGGCTTTTTTTTGCTTGAACTGCCACACCATTTGTAAGGGTTATTCAGCAGGAGACCATGTTTGCAGGCTCTGTTTGTCTCCATCCTTGATTTTATTCTAGTGCTATCCATTTTATTTTTTTCAGGTTAGTCGTGGACTCGAGTCCAAGTGGAGATTTAACTAAACTTGTGGTCTGTGACTTGAGTCGGATAAATAATCTGTATCTTGTGTAACCAAGAGTTGAAGCAAACCGTGTTGTAAGCTACAGACCGTAGTTCTGCATTTTGCCGTATTTTTTTTTTCCATGTAAAAGGGAATGTTTGGTGTATTTGTCAGGAATGTTTATGGAAAACAGGATATTAGAGGCTCATAATCTGCGCTTATCTTGATTCCAAACTTTTGTAATTTTCCTTTTTCTTTCTATCATTGTCTAGTCTCTGTATTTTCTTCATAAGACAAGGATAATTTGTACTTTTTGAACTTTGATTTTGGTGTGTTATTATTAGCAATGGCTCCTTCAACCATAGAAAGAAGAAGTCATATCACAGTGCTGTGCAACAACAGGTTTGGTTTGGCTATGAATAACTATTAATAAGTGTCAATGGCACATGTTAATAAAACTGGTCATTTTAATCAAAAATAGGAATGGAGTGAACTTTTAAGTTATTTAATAACAATATTGAAAATGATATGTTCCTGGTTTTTAAAGGTTGGATGAAAATTGTCCTGGTGGAAAGAACATCAGGCGGGCTAATACAGCTGGAAGTTATTTTAATGTAAACTGAAGGATATTGCACAACCATAGTTATTATAACCTGTGAAAGATTACAACAGCTGAACAGAAGCCATGCGAGATAAAAAAAGCATGGTCAAATACTTTTTTGAGGATTTTCTTTAATCAAGTCATTTGAATCACTTGATGGAATTTTTCACTTCTAAGATGCTTTTTGTTTGTGTTAATTTTTGCACTTGATGTTCTAGCGCTTCAGTCAAGCAACAGTGTGATTACTTTCATGAGTTGAACCTCTAGAATAGCATAAAAAGAAAAGAAAATACTCTGCAATTCTGTAATTCTGTGAACCTTTCAAAATTGATTTCTTCGCGCAAAATACCGTTAATGGCGTTCTTGCTGTGTCCCTGTTTACCCAGTGCAACTTTATGATTTACATTACATGACACATCAATGGGCCTGCATAGTCCAGTCTTTTGGAATAAAAGTAGCATGGTGTTTTGATACTGCAATCACAATTTATGATCTGTTTGCTGCTCACTGCACACAATTCACATGTAAATAACCATTTCACTTTATACAAGCTTTCTTTGTATTTCAGCTTTACAGGGAAGCGTTGAAGGCTGTTTTTTGTATGTGTTTTTCTTTTTGGTGGGGGATTTGGGCACGACACATCCACACTTCCGTATGCTCACATCTGTGCCCTCAACCCATTTCAGACAGGAGAAACTGTACCTTGATTTGCATAAGAATGATTGACACTTCAAATTAGCCCTCCAATCAAAGAGGATTATTTTTCTCAGCATATGTGCAGGCAGTGAGTGCTGCCATGCTGGAGAATATGAAAGGGAGGGAACAGAGTGTAGGGAAGAAGGAGGGGGCACGTCATAGAGGATTAACCCTTTGATTTCCACTGACGATCATAAAGAAGTTGGTGCCTTTCACTGAAAATAGAGATTCATGTGTAGTAACAAAACTGACATTTTGTATGGAAAAAGTAAACATTCTTTGCTTCATAAATAAAAAAAACATGTGTCATAGTTTAGAATTGTTATTTTTGTTATTATTGGATTTACCTTTGAACTCTATGACTACATTCATTGTGTCATTTGTAAGTATGAAAACATCTCACCTAAATAGACGTGCACAAATTGGGTAGTTGTCCATAAGAAACCACCAAAGAGATTTCTTTGTTGAATTACTAAAGATTTCTACTGGAAACAAACAATAGTTCAGGATTAAACACAAATAATTACTTACAACTACACTGCTTTTACCTGATGTACTCATGTTTGTCTTCAGGTTCTCTTGCTGCAGCATGCCTTCATTTTGGAGATATCTGGCACTTCACTCTTTCATCATGTGTCAGATTATAATCTATCTAATTTCTGAGCAAGGAAGAGGTTGTGTTCTGATGCATGTTTTCCACGGCATCACGGCTGACGACATGGGAGTTGTTTTAAGGACGTGCAAGTATTAAAAGGAGAAACTGGGATACATTTTGGGGGAAGGGGGCAGAGGGTTTGGCGCCAGCCCCTCTGAAGCACTCAGCATCCCCCCGCTTCTGGGATGGCGGATGTGTCTAAGTGTATCCATGACAACCTTACTGCATGCAGGGTTACACCACGGCAACATGGCCAAGGAAAGTTGATGTAGGTCCGCCTGTGTATGTGTGTCGACATTGAGTAGGGCTTATATCTTGATGATATTGCTTTTGTGTGGCTGAGGTTACATATGTATATGTTTGACTTATTTACTTTTCCATATTACCGACCTATCCACTGTGTTTATAGAGAAAGCCTTCCTAATTGTTAAACATCATCTTAATAATTATTATTTGTCACAGACACAAAGAGAAGCATCTTTGAATTTACTCAGGTAAAAAGTAATTTGCTCACCACTCTCCTAAGACTAGTGGGTTACAAAAAAAACAGCCCAATCTGGGTTATTTTACTGACCCACTCTTGGGTCAAATACATACCTGGGTTATTTCTTTATTTTTTTAACAGTAAATGTGTGTTAAAGTAATGTCTAATGGAAGGGTCATTAAAGGGCTTGTTGAAAATAGTGTGCAGGAGGATGGTGCCAATTTCCACAGGTTGTTAGATGATAAACAAGGTGGAACCAGGACAAAGAAGCATGCAAGCACACCTAAGGTTGATGAATTTCAAGCAAAAAAGAAATTCATATTCAAATTTAAAGGGCTTTATAACTTGTGTCCGTTAGCAAATTTGCAACGTAAACATTTTTAACACATGACATGACATAGTGCTGATTGAATTTAAAACCTTGCGAGAGAACAGGTTCTGACTGGAGTGTGCCTTAAAATTTTTTAAATGAGTGTAAATGGAAGGACTATCTTTTATTATAATTATCTTTGTATATATTCATTATTATGTAACCAGTTTTGTACCATTGGCTTCTGACAATGCAACAACATTTAGAAAATGTATTTTGAGATTGATTTATCACAATTAATCCATCCAAAATCTATACTTTGTTCCTGCCCATAAATTCTGCTACGTGAAACTTACCACATGGCCATCTTTTGTCATCTGTTGGATGGGGTTCAGAGTTCAGATGGGGTTTGGGTAACTAGGAGACGCCCGCTTACAGCACCGATGTGATTAAAATTTTTGACCTAACGTTTAGTTGAAGCTGGCCACCTTCTGTTCCAACATCAAGAATCCAACGTTTAGGTTGAGGAAATGATCCAACAGTTTGTACAGCACAATAAACATGCATTTACTGAGACATGAAATCATGCAAAGTCTTGCATGTTCTCACCCCTGCAAAGCGGAAGAAGTTGTCTAAGCACAATCCCGTGTGCTTAGACAACTGGGATGTGCTGGCTTGACCCACTGAAAGTAACCACAAAAGGAAGCTCTGATAAGTTCTTATTTGTGCCACTTAGTGATCAAGAGAGCAGAAAAACAGAGGGATGAAGTTGTTTCATGAGACTTAGGCTATGTGCTGTTTGTACATTTTAAATCACGCACTTCTACACAGACACACTCATACATTCACACATGGATGGATAGAACCAAACTGGGATCCTGTGGGAGTATATTTTTAACCCTGACCACCTGACTATTTTCTGAGGGGTTAAAGGGCTGGATGGTGAATCCAGTAAATAATTCACAATGGTTGAAACTCTTTCAGTGTAAGCTCAGAATAAACGAGGGAGGGAGACCTGAGAGACCATGCGGTGGCACCGCATACTCCAGCTTAATCCGACTTACTGTTTTTATTTAGCTGTGAGAGGAAGATTCATGGTTATTTATCAATTCTTAGATCCTGAAACATGTTAACACTACATTTGACGATTTTTTTTGTTTTGTTTTTTTGTTTTTTTAGGTTGCTTGACCATCATGACCCTTAAGTGACCAAACCTTCAACACTGAAGACATAAAAAGTATGCATGTAATCTCTAAGGTGAGTTATATTTCTTAAAGCTCTACTCTCTTGGTCTTCAAGTCATATAGACAGAAGTTTTCTTCTGTGAACCAGCAACAGCTGCATTATTTTTCAATCAGTAGTATCTCTCAGTGTCAGCAGGACAGTTTGAGACAGATTGTTTCTGTCAAACTGCAGATTGTAGAAGACAATAGAAAATACAGCTCTAATGAATTCCTCTGACCCATATATTACTGTCCCATCCATTTCTCTGGAGTCACAGAAAGGGCATTTACACAGGTAAGCCACGACTGGTCCCTAAAGTGAAAGAGGGGTTTCTCAGAAGGAAGACGGGTTATCCATAATTTACCATGCTGTGCCAGACACTTAGAAGATAATGCAGTGCTTCAAGCATACAAAACATAGAGCCTTCTTGGTACTGGTGAGGCCATTGTTGTACGTTTTCCAGCATGTCTGTTTCCATCTATACAGACAAATAAAAAAAACCTAAAAATACAACAAATCCTTCCAAGGCTCAGAACTCTAGACAGAAATGGAAAGTGAAAGGAACGGCAGGGAAGGCCTTGCTGGAGAGAGTATGTCATGGTGTGGCATTTATGGGTATGTCTGCTTTAATTCCCCCCTCTTGACCAGCTGACGAACATCAGGATTAGGAGCAGCTAATCTCATAATGTGGTGGAGTCAATATTTTGACTGCTTCCGACATCTTCTGTAACGTCACTTTAAAATGTAAAACCCTACAAAGAACAACCATACTGATAGCAAATGTAAGACAGTGTGAAATATCAAATAGAGAATACACCGAACTGATTCTTGTGAAAACAAAAAGCTCACAGAAAAATGAATGGCTATTGGCAACGCCTGCTAAGAAGCCTGTTAAAGGAATATTTCTGAATAAATTGAACTTCATTTCATTATGATTATTGTAGCAATCATACACTTTTATAAGAAACAAAACGTAACTCGGTCTGTTAAATGTAGAAGTTGCTTCTCAAGACCATAGTGTTTGAACTGAAAATTGGTTGTGTTTTGGCCAAGATGGCCAAATGATTTTGCTCTTCCCTAATATCTCCCGCAAAATGTGGACATGCCTAAATCTTTGTGACGTGGATCAATTTTTCACCTTCATTATCAGAAATTAACAGACTGCTGATACTTACTTCTTAATCTTCTAATTCTTCTTAAACCATCTTCCTTGAGGTTTTTACAAAAGTATATCAAATATATGATTAACCTTTACAACAACGTTTGTGCTTTAGATACTTTTGGTTCTGATTATGACTTTATTAATTATTCGATGTCTTGGATGAGCTCCTTTACGTGTATATTTGCTCTAAACTAATCTAAGACTGTACCACTTATTTGTTTGTCCTGGTTTGCATAAAGATGTCTACTGTCCATGTTCACCATATACTGTACAAAAATGTAAAATTGCAAAGTCAGCAAAAAAATAAATAAATAAATAAAGCTTTTGCTTAGAAAGGCACATGTAGTCGTTATTCCAATCAGCTGTCACAAACTGTGAAGGCAGGCAGGAAGCTTGAGTTTTTAAGCTGCTGTGAGCAGCTTTTTGTATTGAAATGTCTGAATCCGCCTCCCTTTATCTTTGTAAGTTGTCCTGAATTTGGCTGTCTGTGGCCCAGGGACCCCTTGCCAGCACTTCAGTACTTTCAGCTAAAACGTCAGAGAAATTGGTTGACGGAAACAGCCAGTAAAGTGCATCTGTACTTTCTGGAAAAGTCTAGAATTACCACCCCCCCCCCCCCCCCACCCCCCCCAAAAAAAAAGTGATTGAAGAAACGCTTCCACCTTAATAACATCAATATGAAAAGGCAAACGAAACAAAAAACTAAATAAATCTGCCACATATCTCAGAATAAAATAAGAATGATTTTTTTTGTTACCCCCTGACATTATTAGAACAATGGTTCAGTCCAAAGTGTGGGCGGAGCAACAGCAGCGCTGAACGGTACAGGCTCCGTTAGAGCCGGTGAGGTGAGGAGCTAATTGTTAGCTGTTAGCCGTTAGCTGTTGCTATGCAGCTCAAACATAAAAATCCCTACAGTAAGTAAATACTTACAGCAAAAGACTTGTAAACATTTATTTACTTTCACTACTCAATAAAAAGGAACACATTAACAATAAAAACCAGACTGCAGTTTGTTATTTCATTACTTTGGCTGAATCATGATAAACTGCCTCATTAGCAAAACTGCTACACTCCTTTTTATAGACTTAAGCTTTTTTTGTCAAAGGTAGCAAACATCTTATTTCTTAAGCGGACTCAGCTCAGAGTGTGGGAGTCCAGAACAGAAGAGAGAATAGATAGAAATTAACAAAAAGTTATGCCTTTATTTCTCACTGTCTTCAACATAGAGCATTTAAAACCACAAAATGAAATCGGAATATATTTTGATATAAGCCCTGGGTCTTTAAATGTTACGTTTATGTTAGAATACCTCCCAGATCTTCATTTCTGTCTACTTTTTAGTTGTCATCCAGGACATGTCAAAACTAAAAACATAAAGCAACTGAATAAGTTATGATCTAAATAGGCCATAACTCAGTGTATTACCTTAGTAGGATGTGGAAGCAAAATGATTTTTGGGTTTTAGAATTTATTTAATTTTTTTCAAATGCAGATCTATGTTGTGTGACTTGCATTTTTATTCAACTTCCCTCCACTTTTCCATGACTTTCTAAAGTCACTTTTAACCACAGTTACTGCTGGAAGTTTGTTTTAGTTGGATTCATCCAGCTTTATGTATATGGAGTTTGAGCTCTGCCAGACTGGATAGATAACAATTATAAACAGCAATGTTCAAGTATTGCCACAAATTGTTAATTGGATGTACATCTGTAGTTTGACTAGGCCACTTTGACAATGAATATATTTAGGTCTGAACCATCTAATTTTATGTTGACCTGGGTATATGTTTAAGACCATTGTCCTGATGGAAGGGTTAGGGTTAGGGTTAGCATCCCTGTCATTGCTCATTAAAAACATAAACAAAACACAACATTACCACTTCAAACCTAATGTCTAACAATGACATATTCAGTATGTCTTAGTTTACATTTTCTTTTTTGTATGTTGTGCTTGTTTAATCTGACCAGACCACCTTCTTCCATTTATTTATGTCCCCTAAATTAATTGTGGCAGACACCAAATTTGTGTAGGGCATGAGTGATATTTGTCATTTCAACAAATTCTCCCACTTGAGCTGTGGAACTCTGCAGCTCCTCCATTTAGCGAAGAATGATTTGCAGCTTTTGTTGTTGAATGTGTGGAATGTTGTATATTAACCCGACTTTTTCTTAAACTTCTCCACAACTTTATCTTTCGAGTACCCTGGAAACTCAGACTTTTCTGTTGTGCTCTTTGGTTTTCATGATGCTGTTCATTCATAAATATTCTCTAATAAACCTCAGAGACCTTAACAAAACAGTTACATTTATACTTGGATTAGATTACACAGAGGCAGACTCCTTATACAAAGTAGTTGAAGGAAGGATTTAGGTATATCAGATACAAAACTGCTAAATACAAATACCTTCCACAGTAGTTATACCTTTATTTGTATAAAACATAAAAACCATGACTTTTTTTATTACTGCGTAACTTTGTGCTGATATTTAACAAAAACGTCCAGTTAAATACAGCAATCTTTGGCTGTATTGTTAAAAACATATTCAAGGGGTATGAATACTTTTGCAAGTCCTTGTAATTATTTTACTTATGGGGAAATCTGATACAGAGAACATAGTGCTGTAAACCCTCTAGAAGCAGACATTGGTCAAATATGCCAGGAGCAACTCAAGGTGCAGGTAACCCATGTCATACTTCGCATTTACAGAAGATCCAATAAAGTGTTCTATCGACCTCAAAGCTTTCCGGGTTTCTCATTGAGAAAATAATAAGTAGCTGTAACCCTGAGACACTCCCAGGCTTGTGTCCTTAGCTGCAAGAAAACCTTTGCTGGGTTTCTTATCAGGTTCTAAGAATATCGTGTAAGACAATACATGTGAGAAGTGCAAAGTGAACAATGGGCGGAAAGTGCAGTGCGATATGAGGGGGACTAGTGTCAGTGGATATTGCTGAGGCCTTTGTTGCCTTCGAGTACCCTGGAAACTCACAGCTAACATTATTTCTTTCATTCAGGGCTCGTGATCTGGGGTGTGATGAAATTCTCCGGCGAGTGATGTTCCTTATACTTCAGTGATGACAAAAGTCTGTGATAGCAGAGCGTGTCTTTTATTTATTTATTTTTTCTTTGAGTGAAGGTCTAAAAGAGAACTGATCGTAGTATTTACCATGGATCTCACTATTTTTGTCCACAGAGTTGTAACAGTTACTTTTCCAGTAAAATTCAATACATGGACTGTTGAGAGGGAGAACTAATTTTTTTGCAACAATTGTCTCTTCCAGGTGGAGAGTTCAAATGAAGAAGCGAAGAGGCTGATTTTCCACAAGAGGAAGATTTGAGATTCACTGCACTCTTGTTTTGCATCAAAGTAGCAGGACATTGATCAAGTTTAGCATCACCAAACAATCGAGCAATGCTTTTGTTTGAGATGAAATTTTTACAAGCCAAACAATTCACGAATGGGTGAAGTAGTGTAATAGAACACCAGACCCAAAAGTAATGACATACATACGCTGCTAAATGTTTGTAGCTATGTCATGTATTAAAAGTTACATTCACAAAATGATAGTAATACTGTGGTCAATAAATGTGAAGAGTTTGGTGTGAGCACTGGGGCAATTAGAATATGCTTATGTAAAGTGTCAACAAGAACTCCCCCTAAAAATCAGTTGAAAAAACAATATAGGCTGAAGAGGAGCATGTTTACGGGCCAAAAGAAAAATGGCACAAAATTTTGAAAATAACTTTTTATTGTTGGATCTAGGTCACACAGAAGGTTTGTCAGACGAACCCAAAATACTGAATGTAAGCTAAGGTGCATCAGTTTACATCACACCCTAATTACAATACAAATTGCATTTAAGAGTCAAAAATGTAATTTTTTGTTGTTCCATTAAGCACATAGATAGATAGTATTGCGTTTCAGGGCTTTTTGAGTCACTACGTAACTAATCTCAGTCATCTGTGCTGATTAGTTTGACAGGTGAGCTCAATTAAAGGAAAATTATTTAAGAAAGATTTTCCACATTAAAGCAGGCCCAGGTTTGAAGCAATATTGGAAAGAGCAAGGCTTGCTCTGCTGTTGAAAAGCATCAGATAGTACAGTGCCTTGGAACAGGAATGAAAACATTAGCTATTTCACAAAAACTGAAGCGTAATCATTCTACCATGAAGAGATTTGTGGCTGATTCAGAGCACAGATGGGTTTGTGCAGATAAAGGCATAATGAGGAAGATTTCTCTTAGACAAATTCATTGAATAAAGAGAGCAGCTCCTAAAATGCCATTACTAAGCAGCAAACAGTTATTTGAAGCTGCTGGTGCCTCTGGAGTCTCTATGGAGGATCCTCCATAGGTTAGTTATTAAACCTACTATTCGGCCAACCCTAACCAGTGTTCACACGCAGAAATGGTCGCAGTGGGCCCAGGTGGGCATGACGATTAATTTTCAAACAGACTTGTTCACCCTGGATGGTCCAGATGGATGCAGTAGTGGATTGGTGGTGGATGGCCACCGCATCCCGACACGGCTGTGACGTAAAAGCGAGGAGGTGGAGGAGTCATTTTTTGGCTCAAAATCATGGGGAAAGAATCATTGGTCAGCCCCTTCAGATTCCCTGAAGGTGTGAAAATGACATCAGCAAAGTATATGGACTTTCTGACTGATCACTTTCATAGTTCAAAAACCTTCAGTAGCAAAATCATCCTCATGCATGACAATGCACCATCTCATGCTGCAAGGAATATCACTGTGTCATTAGCTGCTATGGGCATAAAAGGGGAGAAACTCATGGTGTGGTCACCATCCTCCTCTGAACTGTGACCCTATTGAGGACCTTTGGAGTTTCCTCAAGCAGAAGATGTGATGGTGGGATGGAGTTCATATCAAAACAGCAGCTCTGGGAAGGTTTTCTGACATCCTGCAAAGAAATTCAAGCAGAAACTCTCCACAAACTCACAAGTTCAAGGGATGCAAGAATTGTGCAGGTGATATCAAAGAAGAGGTCGTATGTTAACATGTAACTCAGTCTGTTAAGATGTTTTTGATTGAAATAGCTTTTGATTTTAGTACATGTGACCACTTAATTCTGCACATTCAAATAATAACCGATTGAAGTTCTTTATAATCCATAAAATGTTTTTAAAAGTTGTTGTGCATAATAATTTGGAACAGTGCATTTTGAGTTTTTTTATTTAAAAAAAAATCCTGTAGTCATTGGGAGGTTTAAATAAAATGCGATGTAGACTATACCCTAAATGTTCATGACTTGAAAATTATACTGACCATCATTTGTATAAATTGATCATTTATACAAATTTGAAAAAAAAATCACTTGCCTAATAAATGCTATGATGTAAATACATCATAGCATTTGACGATGTCCTATTTGATCATGTCTGCATTGAAATGCCATTAGAATTAGCAATTTTACCAACTCAACCAACTCAACTGAGCTGCATTTTGGTTCTAGACAAATACAACTATGGCTACAAAATACCTAGCCTAATCCTGGGACATTTATTCACCAGAAAACTTGTGAGGTGACTTCAAACATGCTATTTCTGAGGCAAAACGAAGAAAAGCAAAGACTTGTCTAAGGCTGAGTATATAAAGTAGGTCCCAGAAAGTGACTTTACAACTAACTAGCCAATTGTTCATCAAACTAGAAATCAAAAATAAGAAATTTAAAAAAAATTCCCTTTGCTCTAACAGGATTCAGTCTGTTTTTCACAGAACAAAATCTTCTGAAATGCAATGAAAAACATTTCTTTCGTTAATACATGATTGATATAGAAATGATTGGGATGATAAAGTAGAATTTTTTGACAGGTAAATAAAGATTTCCTTTCATTTAAGCAATGTTTTGGGTGTGAGTTATTTTCATCCTTTTCTGCACAACATTTTGGTACTGCTGGCACAAAGAACAATATGCCTGACATAATTGGGTCCCTTTTGGCTCTAGAAAGAGCATGCAAGCTGATAAAAGCTGGCAGGTTGATCAAAGCATTAGTGCATCTGAATCAACATTGTACACCTGACACAGTTGTAGTTTATCCAGACAAAAAAAAAAATCAAAAACTATGGGAAACCATATTTCAGAGAGTATCAATAACTAAAGCAACCGAAACATGCTGATGTGGTGGCATCTGTAAAGTTCAATTCTATATTTTATTCTATTTTTAGTGACAGAAAAAAAAAGTTTATTATATAACTGAACTCATCTCTTGACCATAGTTTTGCATTCATCTTTATGAAGATGAATAAAATAAGTGCTTCCCCGTTGTCTCATTTTGACTTTTTTGTATTAATTACATTTTTTTCTCTTGATTTAACATGCATAGATATCGCTCATTCTTTTTTCATTTCCTTTACCAGCATCATTCTTCCAATCCTTCCTACAGCTCTCCTTCACTCCAACCTTAAACCTATTCTTTTCCGTCTCTTCCACTCTTTCACCAACCCCACCCTCCTTGAATTTCTTCCCCTCTCATATGTCAGTTCCCAGTCCAGTCTTCCACTTGCCTAGTCATCATCTTTTTCACACAGTCCTGTCCCTCTAATAGGGCCTGTATCGTCATATCATATAATGTAGAACACCAGATCACAGCCAGAGATGAAAGATGGTCTCCACCTGTCCCCTTCCACCAGCCACACACACACACACACACACACAAAACTGCGCTCGCACACATCAGTGGTCAAATGGGACACGGATCCAAGTTGATGGCTGTCTCTGTGAACATTTCTGCCCCTCATGTTTGCACCAAAATGCTGATGGGGTTGTTATAGCTATGACAGGTGAGTTGGTGTGTGTTGCAGGGGTGTCCAGTGATGTTTGTTTTAAGTGCCAGGGGCTTTTGTTAGGAAACAAAGGATGCCTCGAAGCTATGGTGTCAAATCTGGAGGTAACCATCAAAATAACGCAAACACCAACACAAAGTGTCTGGGGAGTGTTAAAATAGCTCAGCTTGCTTCACATCAGTTTGGTGAAAGCCTTTTTTCCCCCTACAAAGTTCTAGAAATAAAGAAAAAGAGGTATATCATTGACTTTTATGTCCACAGAATGGTAGAGTGAAGTCACACAATAAGAGGCTGGATGAAAAAAAAAGCATTTATACAGATGATGAGACACAAAAAATTATGAAAAAACAACAGCAACAAGGAATAAGAGACAAATCTAAAAAAACAAGAAATTTTTTTCCTTTTTGTGGACCTAGGCTGTCTCACATAAAAATAGTACATCTGGCTATTTCAACTACTTTTTCAGTCACAATAGATTTTTCTTAAACTAGATGCGAAACAACAAAACATATTAATAAAAGATTTTTAAATTAACCTGAGATGTATATTTAAAACATTGAAAAGAAATGCAAGTAGCTAGGGAGAACCGATCAGATAGGGGTAGAGCAAAAAAACTCTCACCTAGACCACATTGAAATGCAGCATGGTGGTATCAGTGGTAGCATAGCATAAAAACTGATTTTTTTTTTAGAGTGGAACATTTGTGCATGGAGTTCAAAACCAGGTCTCTTGGGTAACATTTTACAAATGTTCTGCCTGGCTAGGACTGCCTCCTACCCCAGAAATCAGATTCTTCAGCTGAGCAATGGACAGTGTGCGCCTACTGAGAAAGAAAATATCTGTCAGATTAAACAAAAGCACATGTGCTAACTGTTTATAATAGAAAGAAGGAAACAAAGAAGAAAGAAAGAAAGGAAGAAACAAACAAAGAAAGAAACAAGGAAATTGTGAACAATTTTAGCAAAACAGAAGGGTATTTCCCATATTTCTGTGATATCAGGTTGACTTCAAGCAAATATCTTAAAAGCATCAAATTGCTTTGTTACAACTACATCTGGATTTTTATAATCTCCTTGAGTTTGTGGTGCTTGTATATTCCAACTTCCTTTCACAGCCAAAACAATGCATTTGAAGTTAAGAGAAGATTCTGAAACCCCTTAAATGTGAGTGCTAGATTCTCACTTCACCTCTTGAGGCTCTCATCACTTTAATTTTGGCCTACTTTTAAAATCGTGAAAGCATATTCCTATCAGACACTGCTTTGTTGTGTTCATGTTGTAGTGGTGGGGTTGGAGTTTAGCCAAAGGTATTCTTTGAACATTTATGTAGTCCATGATAGGGAAATACTAAAACATATGAGACAAAAATAGATGTGGATGGATTTGTCTTTTTAAAATGCATTGCCTTTCATCCCAACCTGCTAGCCATAAACAAACCATGTTCTATTAATCAAATTAAAGTATTGAATGAACGAATGAATCCTTGCAGTTTGTGGTAGAATTCATTATTCTGCTAACAAAAAAAATCTAAAGTATTTTAGGGTTAAAGTATTTTAATCTGTTCAGATTATGAAACATAACTTTTTCACAGTTGTCATTTTATACAATGTAACAACTTGTTTTCACACGTACATGAAAATTGAAAACTATATAATTTAAATCTTAAAGTATTGACATTTTTTTTTATCAGGGATCAGACTCTGACAAGCAATGACGCCTTTAATCCCCCATAGGTTCAAGAACTGTTGTGCAAGAAGCTAATCTTTTCCAATGTGGTATCTACACATTTCATATGGTTCCCAGAAACAGTCGGAGATCAATTCACTCACTCAAGTCATAATCAACATTGGACTAAGTTCTAATTATTTCCCTTTTTCAGCTTCTCAAAGCAGAGCACTGGGATTTATCTTAATCTTTCTCAGATTTATTTTCCTGCGTGAACCCGTATATTGATATTATCAAGGTGAACCAACACAATCTGATTTGAAGCGCGAGAGTATGATTTTAACCTCTGATGAAACATGTTCTATTCAAAATGCAGTTTAATGTGAATGATGCAAGACAACACCCCTGTTCAAATGTTCTGTTTTTTTTTATTTTTTTTTCCATGAGCATGACCTTGGTAGTTGCATTCAGGTAAAAGTGAGGAGAACTTCTCAACTCAATTATGTGTTAGAAATGTTTTGCACCCTTCTGTACCTTCCTTCTCTTTATATAATTTTTTTCTTTCCCTCAAGACTGCATACTATTTCACTTTTATCTACAGATAGCAGGACTTTGTGTTATCTTTTTTTGTTTGGGGAAAGATTCAGTAGTTGCATCCACCCCATGATCCCAACAGACGACAAGATACAGAAGTGTGAGTCTGCAAAGTTTACACAAAGAAAAATGAAGGGTTACTGAAACTACATTATTTTTCTGCTTACTCTCTCAGTAAATCTAGGAAGCCATAGATGGCTTTAGTGTTCTCTAATATGATAAGCAATTTTATTTCTTTTAACAAGTAGCTCAATCAAAACTTTTAATAAAATGTACCATGAACAAACAAATACGGAATTGATTGTGAATACACTGTAGAAGACATAATTCAATAAGACCAAACCAAAATCCTTCTGTGGTCATATGATAAATATTTAGGAATTAAGGATATAAAGGCAAGATCTTGACACTGAATGTAGTATTTTGTAAACCAATATCACAGTAATAGATACCTTTCATACCTGACTTTTATTTATATGGCACAGGAAGAAACACCTTCAGAAAAATAATGTTGACAATGTAGCATAGTTTGTTCACCAAATAATTGCTGTATTTTTGAATATGGGAAAAAGTTCTGTCATATTCTGGTGTATGGGTGCCATAGCTTTATCTGACATATATACTGCGCAAAATCAACATAACTGCAAATCTTCTCAGCAGTCCCATTTTAACCCTTGTAGATGTCTCATTTTCCTGGCATGCAGGATTTGTAAAAGTGATGCTGAAGCTTGCTCTACTATCTAGATAATTCAGTTAGTAAATATCTGAATTACTAACTGAATTTAGTGGAATATTTACAAAAAAAAATCTAATTCAATTCAGAAATGGTGACTTGTTCTAGAGATGTAAGAAATAAAATTAACTTACATCCTCCAGTGCACGGGTGTCAAACTCCAGTCCTCAGGGCCACAGACCTGCCACAGGTACAAAACACTGGAATGAAATGGCTTAATTACCTCCTCCTTGTATAGATTAGTTCTCCAGAGCCTTGCTAATGACCTAACTATTCTATTCAGGTGTGGTGCAGCAGAGGCACATCTAAAAGTTGCAGGGCAGAACATATGTTTGACACCTGTGTTCCAATGAATTGCACACCCTTGCTCCCAATGTACATACACTATTCAAAACATAAATGCATTAAAATCAGCAAGGTATGAAGATTAAAACATCATGCCTTAAAGATTTGCTGGTTTGCAAAACACATAATATAATTTTTTTTTTATATTGAATTAACAGTGTGACAGCAGCCTTAACAACTGTGAGTGCATTCAAGAAAATGTCATTCAGATGACCTGCTAAGGTGTTCATTGACTAAGTTTTGTATTTGGAAAGTCCTCAAAATTCTAAGCTTTACTTATGGTAACAAGCTATAGCTTTTCTGCAAAGGGCAAAAAAGTCAGTAATATATACCATACTGCCATAAAATATACAGTGAAAACCTTAAGAAAAAAAGTTTGTATAACCAGCACACTGACTCATAGCAGATTGCCATTTCACACCTTGGTATTTCTGGTTGGTTTTGGGAGTGGAGAATGCTTCATTTTATCCTTGAAATGGGGAAATAGTGCAAAAACCACAGAATAATATGTTGACATGAGTGTGCTCTGAGTGTTACACTCCAGGTCTATATACTCAGTCTACAAGTGTGCAGGTGCTCTTTTGTCAAAAGGGAATTAATAACATGAAAGTTGTCTGTTATTATTTTTGTACTGTAAAAACAGCAAAGCTTGGCGTGAGGTCGTCACACTTTATGTTCAATCTATCTGCAAAGTCTACCCTTGATAAAACAGTGGGGC